CTTTTTTACGCCCACCCGGTTTTCAGAATAAAGGACGGTACTATACTCAAACGGTATTGTACTGTACCATGGGGTTAATTGTATAATTGTATATTTTAGTGATATTTTATATATGATGTAATTGTTTTATACATGTATTTATTATATAACCCATGACACTTTAATAAAATTTTACAATACAATACAAATACCATACGCTGAATGTGGATTAAGAGTGTGGATTGGGGTGTATCAATTGAACCTTCTTGCATTATACAAGGGTTGTCCCAGAAGTAATGCACTATATGCTCCAACTTTATCAATATGTTGATATTTTTCCATGAAATTTTCAGTAAATGTTCCTTAGAGACATTTTGATTATTCTAAAAAATGTCATGTTGACTGATAAAACTGTATTGATGTTATAATAAAATCCAGTTGGTGAGTTTGGGTAGGGTGGGGCGGGTCAAAAGGAATAAAAAAATTGAAAATATGAAATAATTAATCAACAAATACCATTTTCTGTAGCTAAAAGAAGTATGCTCAAAAATACATTTTAAGATACTAAATTACTATGAGCACATCCTAGATTTAATGGATGTATATTGCACAGTGTCCCATTTCACATTTTCTCAAAATATTGCCCTTTGCATGTTATGTACTTTTGTACCCCTACCCCCATGTTGTTATAGCAACCATATTTAGACTTAATATTATTGTTTGATGCTGACACTTCAGGATATAATAGATAGAACTTCAATTGTTATATACACAAAATTTCAGCTGAATTGACGAATATTAAAGAAAGTTAGAGCATATAGTGCATTACTTCTGGGACGACCCTCGTATACTGTGTATAACATCTTTTTCTTGTGCCAAATGTTTTAATTTTGGCTTCCAAACTAGGAGTGGGTTGAATTGCTTTTTAATGTGTATTATACTGTTATTGGATATCATCTCCATCTCATTAATGCATCTGACAAATTACTTAGAATGATGAACCAAATCTAAATACGACTAACATGAAAAACAATTATGTATAGTGATCAATTAAATCGTTTTTGAAATATGCTCATGATTGTTGTCTACTAGACTAGTCAAAATAATGACGTTTAACATTTAGATAAAGGAGTTTTTACATTGTTTTGTGTCTTGATTGCTTATCTCGACAATGTATATCCTGAGTGTTCTGAAATTATTTTTATGTATTATTTCTGTGTATATGCTACTTGCGGATCTAATGTAGATATACAAGCACGGTATGTGTGCACAATAATGATATTTAATTACTTTGAATAACGACACGAGTTAACAATGTAAAGCAAGCTATCAATATCATTATAACAAGCTCCCAATAGGATTATTAGATCGTCTGATTACATAGCTATTCAAATATCTCTTCCACAATGCATCTGTCAACGATGTTTAAGAAATATTTTTAATAAAACTTTCATTTACATTTACGAAGGAAGACGTTTAGGAATAACGCGCAAAACGACAGAATATAATACAATTACAACACAAAATTATTACATTTCTCAATTTAGATTTATGTTCAGCTTATTGGTTTCTTATGTGACAGAGTACGCATAGAGATCGAAACTATCTGAACGCATTGAAATTGACATTTAGTGGCAGAGAGAAATGCGTAACTATCAACCAATTCGGAAATTTTGCGGAACCTACATGTGAAGTGTCATATTAAATTTACTGATTTTGGAAAATTATGATATGATATGGCCTATTGAGATTAAAGAATTTCGAATCAACAACAAAAAACTTTGTACATCAAACAATTTATTATATTGAAATAATTAATGCATGGAGAAGTAGATAGCTGTACTATTAATTAAGATGAACACAACCATCGTTATGGGAAGCAGAGATGGCACAACTGAAAACATAGAAGTATTCAACACAAGTTACTCTGCAACACTTACTGAGAAAACCACATGCTGCACAATAGGATTTATTGGCTTCATTGGAAATATATTGGTTCTGTATGTTTTTCTCAGTTCTCCAAAACTTAGCGGGAAAATCTCAAACATGTTACTTATAAACCAGAGTCTCATTGACATGTTTGCATCATTTTTTATTATCTTGAATAATGTTTTTGATGATATGGGATGGATAACAGAGACGGGCCCTTTGGCGACAATGTATTGTAAAATCTGGCTATCGCAGTATTTACTTTGGAGCTGTTTGAGCGTATCTACAGTCAACCTAGTTGCACTTACATATGAGAGATACTTTGCACTTATGTATCCTTTATTACACAAGCACAAAGTCACCAAACAAAAACTCAAGGTTGTGATTGTGAGTGTTTGGATGTTTGGGTTTGTTTCCAAACTAAGTGAGATATTTTCTACTGAATTACAAGGAAAATTTTGCTCGCTGTGGACTGAATGGCCAAGTGAAATTTTTCAACACTGTTTTGGAATAGTTAATGTCGTTATATTATTTTTTATTCCAATAGCTACACTAGTATATTGTTATGGAAGACTTGTGTTTTGCAAGTTTGCTTAAACTTCGCCAAATTTGCTTTTTTGCAAAATCTCCTTGATTTTACCAAATTAACTGAAGTTTTGCCTGTACTTGTCCTGCAAGTTTCTGTCATATTGCCTCGAGTATGGCAAAAAGTTGTGCTTGATTATATCCGAAAGTCCTGCAGTTAAGTTCAGTTTACAGTATAGTTGTGTTATATTAGTGTGACAAACACATTTAGAGAAGTGCTTGTCAGCTAATTGTATTTTATATTAAACAGTTCTTATAGTATTTAGATTTACAACGTTTCGAAGAAGTGTACGTTTGCTTTTGTTGGGAAACCAAAGTGCTATAATCCCTTGAATTGAAGTGAATGATAATATCTACATTAACTGGAGAAGTAGAATATGTACTTCGACACATAGGGATATTATCTTTGATTTGATTAGATACTTTCGCATCGGAAATATTCATATCCGTGCTTATTAGAACTTTGGACTCATTAAAAGGTAGCTTATAACATTAAAGACATGGGTGGTTTGTATATCGCTTATCGGTAATTAATGAGTAGATAGGTATTTTCATGATGAACGATCTTTCGGATAAGGAAGGATTATCGGCGGAGTTTTGACGAACATGAAAACCTCTATGTGAAGGCAAAATGAGTGAATTTGAATTAAAATTAGCTCTAAAAGACGCGAAAATGAATAAGTTCTGGTTCTGGCAGGTTTTGTGTAAAAAGATTTCTGTAAGGATATAAGTTCAGTTTTACTTAGGCCTAAATCATTTAATGAATCTAAAATACGTTTTAACTCCTGTTTCCCCTAGTCTGATTGGCTAAATAAACACCAGCTTGAGTATGTAAGTATTATTGGAACTGTTTACAGAAACACTTAATCAGAGAGACGATAGGGGTCATTGTTGCAATCTGAATCATTGAAGGCATATGCTTTTGAATAAGCAGTATAAAAACACGGTCAATATCATTCAACTGAGCTTTTTGGAATTTATTATTTTTTTAAATCCACAGTTAAAGTATATGTCGCTGGTTAACCATATTCTTTGTTTTATGACTGAACTGGCATGTGTCAGGTAGATAGGGTTTATAGCGAGGGTATCCATTCCTCCATCATCACTGTGTCCTAACAATGCGCTTTTCCATCATGGATAACCTACTTTGTGTCCCAACACCACCCCCCCCCCCCTCCCCTATTCTAGTGGCGTCAAACTTTATCCAGATCACCTTTATTTTGTCCGGATGGGTATGTCCTTCAGCTTGTTCTTCAAATAAAGTATGTTAGCTAAATCCAAATTTTGATTGTCCATTCCTCAGAACAACCTAATTTAAGGTTAATCTAGTGACTGGCAACGGTAAAGAAGACAAACTCATGCTAAAAACAATGTTTAAATATAAAACCGACTCTTCGCTAATGCTTGTTAAAACACATTCGAACATATTTGATGGGCTGGTAAACTAGACGAAGATGCTAATTTTAAGAGAACCCCACCTGTACGTTAGCGAGTAATCTTTTGACCCACGTTGATTACTGTCCCGCTCTCAATTTACTTTTCTGAGGATCTCATTACAATTATTTTCCGTATACCTTTATATAATACTTAATCGATCAAATAAACATACAAATGGTAAGACTAATGAAAAAACATAATTCTGTACGTTCACGCACACGTTTTTAAAAATTCTCCCTATACATGTACATGCTGTATAGTAATCTCACGTGTCTATTTATACTGCATATTGTCTATGAATAGTTAGATTTTGTTTCATTTCTTTTATTTGCTGTATATTTTGCCATGGTGATTAATTAGTATGAGTGCGTACACAGTTTGTATATTTTGGCGAATATTTACGAGTTAACATGTGAATTATGACGAGTGAATAAATTGTTCAGAGGTGATCCTCAATTTACAAACAGTATCTGCACCGATTCGCCGACATATTTATATCTATCTTATCTTATTTTTCAAACTTTTAATTGACCTCACTGGTAAATAAAAATAAGATTATCGTCCTTCTGGACAGTACAAATTAAAAAGAGGGTAAATAAATACCAACTCTTAAAAACATGTTTAAACCCCACGTCAAATAGATACGTATGTACGTGAAAGATGACCTTTCAAATGCGCAAGTTTTTACAAGAATCAAAATATTCCGACCAGCCTTGTAAGTTAAATAAGAACAAAGTTGGTTAAAATACAGTATTATTATCGCTATTCGTTAATATTCATAATCTTGAACTTTTTCAAACGGGTCTAAAAAGTGTCAGTTCATGAAATACTGGGAGGATGCAAATAAGATAGGGTGTACTTTGAGATGACGTTCAAAGGAGGGATTTTTATGGCAGTTCTTCATTTTATGACGCGTGTAAAACGTCTTTAGAACGCAAGCATGGGAAATGTAGGCCAACATATTGAAACATTTAATTTTCAGTCGTCAAAATGGCATTGTATAAATAAGACATTTTTATGAAAAAAAGAAACCTTTATATTAGCTTTGATTAGGTGAAGTCAATTCAGATATGGATTCGAAGACGGATTATCTCCGCCTTTTATCACCTAGCAACAGTGCTACCAGCAGCAGTACCACAGCAACTTGTATAAGCGATAGCAACGACGTTGGCAATGCCAGTACCACCAATACCAGTATCGTATATCAAATCTCACAACAAACCTGGAACATCGATGATATTCCCCATAAGGGGCGTGGTCGTTCTTGGAGCACTTATGAGCCTAACTGGCTCAGCCTTACCGGTGCGGCATATGATACAAATGAGGACGAATTAAACCTTCCTAAAATAACGAGCGAAAGAAAAAGCGGGTCAATAACCGCTGTTCCAGGCGTTATAGACGATCAGGGAATACCCGCTGAACTAGACTGTAACTCAATTGGAGAAGGATCGCAATTTAATGTTATTCCACCATTGGTGATTCCACTGAAGGAAGATACAAAACAATGTTGTGATGCTCAGACTCAAACTGACAAAAGGAAGAAATCAAAATGGTGGATCTTACTCCTATTGCTTCTCTTATTATTGTTGATAGGTGGCGCTCTTACGATTGGACTGTATTTTGGAATTGTATGGCCAAACTGTAGGTTATATTTTAAGTCTTATAGAATTGATAAACTACCTATTTGGTACTAATATATAGTAAATTAATAGCTTGCCCGTCGTCAGTTTTTACCAATGGGGGGGGAGGTCTTACCAAGGGAGGAACTTTTTTACAGTTTGGGCCAAAAAATTAGAAAAGTGCCAGGAATGGCCGGAAAACTGCATGATTTTGAAACAATTTCTAGCCATGAATATTTACGCTTGAAGAATAATACAGATTAGTGAAATATCAGTTCAATGATGTAATATTAAACGTAATCGAAAAAGCCTCCGCCTATTATATATTTCTAATTCTTTTTCAGCACCAGATACGCAACCAAGAGAGACAACTACCTCATCAAGATTACTGACTGCGATATCATCAACAGGTACATATTCAACACAACGTTTTACCATGACAACAAAGCAACACGTCACCGAAACAGAACTGCCAACAACAACCCCCCTTTCAACGCTGACAGCACACACAACAGAGGTAACTACGGAAGTACAGACAACAGAAGCTAGTACGACAGAAAAACGAACGGCAGAAGTTTCAACAACAAAAACACAAACAACAAATGTACACACAACAGGAATACATACAACAAAAGTACAAACAACAGAGTTGACAACGACAGAAGTGCCAACGACCGAAATCCCAACCACAGAAGTATCGAAAACAGAAGTTCCAGCAACCAGTAAAACTCCAGTAACAACTGATTATGTTACCACAACGGTGGTCACTCTTTTCCCAGATTTGTGTAAGTTTGAGGCTGATAACATTTTAAGATAGTTTGACTAATCTCTGCTTGATTGATTTTGTCTCTTGTTCATATAATAGTAAGAATCAACCAAAGTAAGTCACTCATTTTCGAATTGATAGACATAATTTGAAATCAAATCCAAAGAAATTGTGTTAACTTTAATCAACCAAAATTATCCAATATGATTTTATTGGCTACTAGTATTTCAACCCAGTTTCATATTGTTTGTTGGAGTAAGGGCAAACCTAAAATCAGCTAAACTACATATAACTTAATCCCGTGATCACAACTATGCACCAACGCTTTAATGCATTTGCTTGTTTCCTTTCAGCGGATTACTGTTTTGGAGAACCAGATGGGACGAACGCCCATCCACACATGTGTAGACAATTCATCACGTGTCGAAACCAAGAGACTCTCATTCAGACATGCGCAATAACAACATGTTATGATGAAGGAATGGGCGTCTGTATACGTTGTGAGGCAGTCGACTGTGGGTCTAGGTCGACTGATGAACCGTGACAATGATAGAAAGAAGAATTAACGATACAAAATCGTCCACAAATTATAATATGCATTTGTCGATTGAATCAACTCAAGTACCCTAACAATATGGAAATTATATTTCAGAATAATTCAAGACAAATAATGTTCTGGTTCGCATACATGCCAGCATGGGGCGTAGTTTGGAATTTCTACATTGATAAGTCAACCGTTGACGTGTGGCATATATAAGTCAATCGTTGACGTGTGGCATATATAAGTCAATCGTTGACACGTGGCATGTAGAAATCAACCGTTGACGTGTGGCATATATAAGTCAACCGTTGACGTGTGGCATATATAAGTCAACCGTTGACGTGTGGCATATATAAGTCAACCGTTGACGTGTGGCATATATAAGTCAATCGTTGACACGTGGCATGTAGAAATCAACCGTTGACGTGTGGCATATATAAGTCAACCGTTGACGTGTGGCATATATAAGTCAACCGTTGACGTGTGGCATATATAAGTCAATCGTTGACGTGTGGCATATATAAGTCAATCGTTGACACACGCATGTAGAAATCAACCGTTGACGTGTGGCATATATAAGTCAACCGTTGACATGTGGCATATATAAGTCAACCGTTGACGTGTGGCATATAGAAGTCAACCGTTGACGTGTGGTATATAGAAGTCAACCGTTGACGTGTGGCATATAGAAGTCAACCGTTGACGTGTGGCATACAGAAGTTAACCGTTGACGTGTGGCATATAGAAGTCAACCGTTGACGTGTGGCATATAGAAGTTAACCGTTGACGTGTGGCATATAGAAGTCAACCGTTGACGTGTGGCATATAGAAGTAAGACGTGTAATAAGACCGTTGTTTGTGTATCCCACAATTGTCCATTTTCACCTGTTATAATACAGTTTCACATAGGGTTAGATAATGTTATCACTTGATGAATGCAATATCCACATTGGAGATACAGAGGTCACCTCGTGGACCACATGTGGCGTTCGGCGATCATCGGAACTACAACTTTTACTGAATATAGGGAAAATAATCTATTTGCCTACACGAGTTAAACAACTTCTTTAGCATATTTGAGTTGAAAAAACATTGCCTTGCTTGATATAAATATGAGCTATAACACATTAGAGTATAAACATAACCGTTACGGTAAATTTAATATATAAAACTAATAAATATGATATAAATTAACAAATAAAAAATATATGACCGGGGAAATATGATATACATTCCACTGTACGAAACGCCATCTGGGAAGTATGCTATTTAATTCAGTAGATATAGACAGGGATATGCAGTGTTTCAAATGTTTTTATAACGTAACACTGCAGGAGACATTTATAATGTCTTCTTATTTCCGAGTCTCACAGGGGCACTAGCTAGATGTTGAAATTAGCCAGATAGAAAATAATATACATATACAGGTACGTTTAAATCAAGTAAAACACGTCTTCGTCCAAGTAGGACGATTGCACTTTTATTGTTTGAACAAGGCACGGGTTATCAGTGTGTGAAATTTAATTTCCAATAACCCAGATGCGAGTAGAAATAATCTTGATTTACGTCATTAAAAATTCAAAATTCAGTCAAAGTAATATCATATTTGAAATCTACATGTAAAATTACATCTAGAAATGTGGTTTTAAAAAGTGTTTATCAACTTTGAAAAATTACTTTTCTTTGAAAATGTGACTTCTAGCTCGGGGAGATTCCCCATAGACCCCATGCTATAAAATCACAAAAAAATGAAATATCTTTCCTTTTAGTGGACAGATAATGTTTTGCTTTACTGGACATATTTTCATTAGTATAAGTATTAGACACATAAGGGTTATATGAAAATTGAGCCACTTAAATTGATAATATTCAAGTTTAAGGGAACTTTCTTATATACCTGCCATGTTAACTGACCCGAATCAGCCACCTGGTGGTGAAACTGGTAACTACCTACTCGCATTTGGGTAATTAGCTCTATGCCGGTAAATCGAACTGACGAACAGGTAGATACTTGTATATTTAGAGGACATTTAGTGTTTAAGTGGCTATACACAGGGCGGTAACAAAAGTCTCTCCATTGCTTAATTTATTGGATCAGATTATCAATGTCCATATTTGAGAGGCAATTATTTGATAATTCAATAGTCATATAATCTGTTAAGTGAATAAGCAGGGGATGAATGTTAACTGACATTTCTAAATGTACATTTTTGACTGTCATATCAGAATACTATGACCATTTATCGAATAGTTTCACTTCACTATGCGCATCGTCTACATTATGCCTGGGTCACATTTGCTCCAATCCATCGGCCAGCGCCCGGCCGATTGAGTGTTTTTTTCAATATTGTATTCAATTTTGAACAAGATACTCGGCCGGGCGCCGTAGTGAAAATCTGAGCATATGTGACCAAGGCATCACTGTGTGATGTAAAATGTAAACCTATGATATTCGTTAGTTTGAAAAACAAATCATAAATAAGGCTTGAATTGACATCAATGTTTCACGCACGTATTTGTCAGAAGTATTTTTTAATTTAATCAAAATAGAATTCTTTATTAAATTTGATTTCGAAAATAATGTAATTCTTGTACAAATTGGCATTTTTTGTAAAATACATCACAAGTCTAATACGAAATCGTTAAGCCTGTTTAAAAATGTCGACTACCTTGGTAAAATATGGTTATCTGCATCTGATTTGTAACATGGTATTTTGGGTTTTAGCCTTCAAATCTGCCAATCCTTCGTGTTATACGAAACAATGATCAGTGCTTCAAAATAGTCAATTCCAACCACTTCAAGCTCTTAAAATGTCATAAGAAGGGTATCGCAACGTGATTTAATAAGCCTGCACACTAATAACTACAATTGTGAAATTGAACAAAGTTCAATTTAAAACTCCAGATTCTGACTTTTCTTGGCCTTGATTCGACCTAGGTCTTAACCTTGATCATGTTGACTTTGATTATCATTTTTGCCTTCTTCGATAGTTTAAAACTACCTGTAGTTTAAACTAATAAAGATAGTCATTTCATTAAAATTGGAGACATTTTGGTTGACCTATATTTGGATACCATATCTCAAAACTGGGTTAAACACAATAATCTGATGGCAAGACCATTAGCTTCATCTTGTATATTAGTGAACAAGGTTTCAAAGAAAGATATGTATATCATCTTGGTCCTCTTGAATCATTTTAAGCTACTTGAAACAAAGACATTCCAATTTGGATTCTATATCCGGAATCCCGATGAAATGCCCCATCAATTTTATACCAATATCATTAAATTATGTAGACCTAATTTCTGGACACGAACGTCTCAAAATTCGATGGTGAAAGGCTTGCATACCCTTAGCTAATGTGCCCACTTTGTTATTTTACTTGTAATTATAATATGTAAAAAAAAATAACGTAACATAACATAACAACATAACATAACAGCATCTATATGCTTTTCAAAGAAAATTATATCAGTGAAGCGATGGTGATTTGACCTAGATTTTGACCTTTGGATGGAAGTGTCCAAAATTTGTGTCAATGTAACTTTATGGGTGCTCTTCCGTTATTGACTATATCTTATTTTATTTGTATTCAGTTTGTATCTGCTATTTTTCCATTCATATTTTTCTTCGGCGCCATTGAGTTAACATGGTGATATCATCATTTCGATTCTTCAAGAATTCAAAAGGTCATGGAATCGTAGCAGAGATCGCATCTAAATCATGATTGCAGATCAGGAATTCTAAGAGAACTTTACATCACTTTGATACCAATAACATTTTGACACGTTTCGCTTGCCTAAGTTTTGGACAATGACATCTAGAAAAAGGTAAAAGTAATCAAAAAGTGTCTGTCCATCGAACTGGCAAAAACAATAGACAAGCCAATTTACAATCTGGAGTCTCATAAAAAGATTGTCAGGAGGTAGAGTATTATTGGACCACTTCATTTTATGACGATTATTTCAAATCGTTAATCTGAAATTGATTGGGTGTCGTGAATTATGTAATTATACTAACATGGACGTAACCGTACAATAAAGAGACATGGGGTTGGTAAACTAGTTGTTTTGAAGGATCGGACAAAAAATACAACCTACACATACGTAAAGAGGGGAAAGGACAATTGAAACTTTCTGTTTTCCAAGTGGACACATCTACAAAGACATGTATGACCATCTTGGCTTGCTGTCACCTAGAAACAGCACTAGTAGCAACAGTACCACTGATACCAGTATCAGTGATAATGTCACGGATCCAACCATGCAAAACACCGAGGATGTATTCTTCAGGAAAAGTAGACGTTCTTGGACCACATACGAGCCGAATTGGCTTGGGATGAGTGTCACGACAGGTGATGCAAACGACATTGATTCTAATTTACATCAAATAGGGGGGATAAGAAATAAGGTGTCGAGTAGCGCTACTGACTCAACTATTGTAGAATTTCAGGATGACCAATACTGTAGTTTTGACTCTGAAAGGCCATCAAAAGATATTCTCTCGGGGGCCGGTTCGATTACAGGAGAACGTCAATTTTGTGATGCTGAAACCCAAACTGTCAAAAGGAAGAAATCAAGAAGGCGAATTGTATTATTGCTGCTCCTACTTCTGATGCTAATCATAGGTGGCGCTGTTTTGATTGGATCGTATTTCGGAATAGTTTGGCCTAACGGTAAATTTTGTTTAGGATGTTGTTGGATAAAAAAAAGTAAAAAGTTAATTGAAAAATTTGTATAATGTTCATAAAAATACAATTATTTTTTTTTATTTCGGGAATAAACGAAACGTGGTCGGTTTCGGCCAGTGTTAAACCGTTACACATGCCGATTTTATCGAAAACAAGGTCACGACGATACCCAGATCTTGACAATAAAAGTTGCGTTTGGTTTTGTTTTCCAGAACAGCATTTCATAGTCACTTCATAACATTTCATATTGTATATGTCAATTTGATTTAACAACCGTATTGGTAAATATCCTTTAGTGGCCTTCTTGGGCTCATCACATGAAAATAATAAGAAAAAAATTTGAATCTCGCTTTGGCGGTTTAGGGCCCCGTGCAAAAAAATCTCGAAACTTGTGTATACTTATTTAAGACAAAATTTGACGATCTTCCTGAAAAAAAACTATAAAGAGTTTTGTGATCGAGTGTCTTAACGGTACGATTTTGAATACTTCGTTTACAATAGTTTACTCGGCTGAGAACTTCAACCCCTTACCCGTTATTGGTATGAAAATGCAAATTAAGTGAATATGAAATAGAATAGAAGATAAACACGTTTTCAAGCAGAACGATCTATTTTTATAAAACGACAAACAAAACGATACCAAAATATTTTACTGATATTTTTTAAAAGTCCTCTTCTAAAACACTTGACATGGGTTATCATGGATTGAGCTTATAGCCTCGGTGAACATGATACGAGTCACACTCATGACAACGATTAGTAAATGCTTTTTAATTCACTAGATTGTAGTATAACAATTATTTCAGTACCTATTCAGATTACAAAATACCGGTTTTGAACATTTTTTAGTATAAAATATCAATGTATGAATGTTCAAAGGGACGCCTGCATTGTTGCGCAGCAGTTACAAAAGCGTAGAATACAAATAGATAAATAGAAATAGGAATATCGATAATAAACAGATATCAGTAGTGCATGTAGTATGACCTATGACATAGTTAAGGAAAGAGGGTTGATAACAGAGTGTTTAAAACAATCCTGAAATTGTGATTAATCACAACAATTGCAATAAAACTATAAACACTGCACAGTGGATTAAGTAGGCGATATAAAAACAAAAGCTAAAAGGATGAGTGTCATAACACCCATAAAATAAAGGGACTTTTGAAAAATAAAATTTATTTCTTATTGTTTATCAAATCTTAATTAATGTTAAGCATACTTGATAATTTTTGCAAAGTGCATTAAACGTGTCCATAACAAGTGGCCGCCATTAAATATGAACCCCTTTCTCGTTTTAATAGTACGTGCAAAAAAACCTATTTTGTTTTAGTGTTTTAACGTCATTGAGATGCATTTTAGTTATATTGTGTTTTATTGTGAAGACGCACCTGTGAAGGTATGCCGCTGGTACAAAAGCGCGGTTCTAAATAAATAAATGAATAAATATTTAAAAAATGAATTAATTAATTAATAAATGATAAATAAATATATAAATAAGTAAAAATATATACTATATATATAAATAAATAAATAAAATTATCGAGATTTCAAAACTATATAGAAATTATTCTATTGGCTTAAGATTCATTTCCCAAAAGTCGACATTCACTGAATAGGGGATTCAACATTTTCTAAATGCAATACGTGATTTATCTATACCATTAATATATCAATATCGATTAAAAAACATAAATTAATGTCATCTTAAGATACTGACTGTTGAAGTACAAGTTTTATTTTTAAAAATACTCTGCTGTTATCAATACTAACAATATCGTAAAGAGGACTAAAAATAAATTTCGAATTTAAACATTTATGAATTTCATCGTGGATATTTTGACAAGGAACTCTTTAGATAATCGTAACAAATCACAATAAATAAAACGTCTCTTATGTGTACTTGCAACCACTTGGTATATAATCATGGTTCGGATAATTGGTTGTCTTGACTATATTGAACTTTCGTAGAAATTCGTAGATACAAGTTCTGAATGTCCTACATGAAGTTCAGGAACTCAGAACACTATTATACAGAGTGACACAAAAATGCCTCCCACTTATTTTGGAATAACTTTCTCAGTAATGAAGAAACCTTCATGATTTTTATGTGTAGATAGAGTGTTCAATGGAAGGGGGATTGGTATGCTTGCATAGCATCAACAACTTGAAATTAAGAAATATCTCATTTTCCGCGGAGGCATGATCTGACACAAAATCACTCAAATATGGAAATAAAACAATCTGTCTTTCTAAAATTTACACAATGAACCAGTCAGTTCATTAAATAACAAAATTGTTTAAGAAAAATGGGAAGGTGTGACATATAAATTATAAATTATGTGGAAGGAATCCAGAAATGACTTAAATAATTGCTAAGACAGAAATCCCATTTTCAGAAAATTGTATTTTTTAACATCTTCACAATTTCACCGAGAGCATACCTGGACAAAAAACGTGATATCTCTAAATCTCAAAGTTGTTGATGCTACACAAGTAGAACAGTCTTTCTCCCATTGAACACTCTACACGCATTTTTATGTCACCCTGTACGTACAGTAAAACCTGCCTAATCCGAACACCACTAGGGCTGGCTAATGTTTGAATTAACAGGTCATCAAAGGAACCCGAGTTGTTTGTAAAATGAATCTTTAGGATTATATGGTGCAATCTTATAGTCAATAAAATGTTTTAAAGTGTATTGATGTTTTTAAGATAGAAAACAAGAAGAAGTCATCGTGAGGTACTAGTAACTGTGACAGGTTTTATGTTTTCATGTTTTCAAATTTTCTTTACTATTAGATAGACATCCAAACAACGAGACAACTACAACATCAGAAGAACTGCCGACAACAGCACAAACGCGATTGAACTCCCCTCAGCTAGTATCAGTTGCCTCCCACAAACCAGACACCCCAACACCGGTCACAGTATTGTCATTTATTTCTCAATCGCCCCCAGTTACAACAAAAGTGACTTTTACAGAAGTTACTGAGACAGAGGTATCGACAACAGCAATAAAGGCAACAGAAGTACCAATAACTACAGGTGCTACGACAGAAGTACATACAATAGTAACTACGACAGATATACCAACATCCACCATAACTACGACAGAACTACCAAAACTTACAGCAACTAATACAGAAGTAACTACAACTATAGTATCTATAACAGAAGTACCTACAACTATGATAACATCAACAGAAGTACCTACAACTTTATCAGCTACGACAGAAGTACCTAAAACTGCAATAGTTACGACAGAAGTACCTACTACTGTAACTTCGACAAAGATATCCGCAACTACAGTAGCTACGACAGAGATGCCAACATCTTCAGTAAGTACGAACAAAGTACCTACAACTGAGGAAATTACAACAGAAGTACCTACTACAGTAACTACAACAGAAGTAAATGCTTCTGCAACTTCAACGGAGGTGCCCGCACCTACCGTACCTCAGACAGAAATATCTACAACTGCAGTAAATGCAACGAAAGTACCTACAATTGAAGTAAATTTGACAAAAGTAGCTTCAAATACAGTAACCAGTGCCGAAGTACCTACAACTACGGAAACGACGACAGAAACAGTATCTACGACAGAACTTCTACCAACAACTTCAGGGGACACGATGGAAGTATCAACAATTGCAGTAGCTACAACAGAAGTACATACATCTCAGGGAATCAAGACAGAAATATCTACAACTGGAGTAACTACGTCACAAATACCTTCTACTATTACTTCGACAAAGACTCCCACAAATACAGTAACTATGACAGAAGTACATACTACTGTTACTTCAACAGAGGTTCCAACAACGACAGTAAGTACGACAGAAGTGCCTTCAAGTGCAGTAACTATGACAGAAGTACAAACTACTGTAACTTCAGCAGAGGTGCCCACAACAACAGTAAGTACGACAGAAGTGCCTACAACTGCAGTAACTACAACAGACGTACCTAAAACTGCAGTAAATACGACGGAAGTGCATACTACTAAAACTTCCAAAGAGGTGCAAACAACTTCAGTAAGTATATCAGAAGTACCTACAATTGCAGAGACTACGACAGAAGTACTTACAACAGCAGTACTTTTAACAGAAGAACCTACAACTGAAGTACCTATGCCAGAAGCACACACTACTGTTACTTCGATAGAGGTGCCCACAACGACATTTAGTACGACAGAAGTGCCTTCAAGTGCAGTAACTATGACAGATGTACATACTACTGTAGCTTCAACAGAGGTGCCCACAACAACAGTGCGTACACCAGAAGTGACTACAACTGCAGTAACTACAACGGACGTACATAATACTGCAGTAAATACGACAGAAGTGCATACTACTGTAAATTCGAAAGAGGTGCAAACAACTTCAGTAAGTTCATCAGAAGTACCTACAACTGCAGCAACTACGACAGAAGTACCTACAACGGCAGTAAATACGACAGGAGAACCTACAACTGCAGTACCTATATCAGAAGTACATACTACTGTAACTTCGATAGAGGTGCCCACAACGAGAGTAAGTACGACAGAGGTGCCTACAACTGCAGTAACTATGACAGACGTACCTAAAATTGCAGTTAATACGACAGAAGTACATACTACTGTAACTTCGATAGAGGTGCCCACGACGACAGTATGTACGCCAGAAAAACCTACAACTGCAGTTACTGCAACAAAAGTACCTTCAACTGCAGTATCTTCGACAGAAGTACCTATAACTGCAGTTACTATGACAGAAGTACCTACAAATACAGTAAGTACAACAGAAGACAATATTACAGTAACTTCTACAAAAGTACTTACAACTTCAGTAAGTACAATAGAAGTATCTACATCTTCAGTAACTACGACAGAAGTACCAACACTAGCAGTAACTTTAACAGAGGTACCTTCAACTGTAGTAACTACCACAGGAGTATCTACAAATTCAGTAAAGACAACAGAAGTATCTACGACAGCAGTAACTCCGACAGAGGTACCTACGATTGTAACTACATCAGAGATACCCATAACTACAGTATCAACGATAGAAGTACCAACTACCATAACTACAACTCCAATTCCAGGTAATGCTTGCAACATGATACTTAAGAATGATAGCAAGAGATCATATGATATTGGATTTACATTAATTCAGGAAAAAGATTCTGGCTACACACCAAGAAAGATTTTACAAACAATTTAGTCGCCAGGGATGCAAACCACCAACACAGAAAACGGAGACCATAAAACTTAAAGTACAACTAAAAATGAACATGTTTTTGAGGGACCTTATTATGCATATTGAAAGAGTTTCACTTAGTCTAAAGCGCTATTAAACATTGGGAGTTTCCACATACATGTGTGAGTATTCATATATTTCAAATTTGAGATGAGATGGTTGGTAAGCAAGTTTTGAAGAATTCAAGTTAAAAAGTAACCACCCAAGTCACGTTGTCGCGCACAATCGGTCCATTTTTGGTAGCTGCGTATATCAAGGATGTTAATACTATCTATATTCTTCTTAGTTGTACTTATCTGTATAATTTGTTCTGTTTAGATTGCGAAGCAGAATGTGCTAAAAGAGGCGACGGTGTGTATATTCATCCTAGCAAGGGTTGTTCCTGGTATTGCCAATGCCTTGACACCCAGTGGTGGGAAAGGCCTTGTCCTGAGTCGACATGCTTCAATGAAGACATACGGGCGTGTGGACACGCTCCCTAAGAGGGATATAAAAGTTGACAGTAGAATTACATTCCGGTGTCAGAGTAAATATAGTCTCCCTGGATATATGGTCCGATGGACCATACACCCCAGGACACCAGTTTCTCCATACCTGGTGTCCTCGGGTGTGTGGTCTTAACCGGACCATATGTTCTGTATTGGTAAACAATATGACCCACTACTATATATACTGACGACTATAAATATGTTAACAGCAGTGAACGAATAGATTGTCCGGCTAGATTTTGGTCCTATCTGTTATCTTTATTTTTAAATGTATAGATGTCGAAAGAGGATCTAATGACACAAATTTGAAACAAATTTCCCTACCATTATTCATCTTTGCGAAATTAGCAATTTAAGGTGGCATATAACCCTGTTTATTTTTTCGTGAAGCCACTCAGCAAAATTACGATTTCTCTGCATCCTGATGTCCAATCAAGATCATTCGAGTATCTATATCACTCTATCAGTGAAATAGGAAAAACAAAAAGGTGTGATATTCTTTCAGGATTGCTTATACAGTATTAACTATTTACAAAAATGTTCCCGAGACACAAATCTATTTAGGTAAGGGTTTGTTTTAAAGTCAGAAAGCCCCAATGAGACAATACAAACCCAGAGAAAACCCGAAAACAAAGTTAAGAAAACAAGTAAAGTACACCCAATCCCCATATAAAACACTGGCCTACGTGACATGTACTAACATTTTCAAACTGTATTATAGAACCTTTTCAATATGGCATTTGCTTCCATGTTCTGTATATCCCTCTACCAGCTTAATAAGGCAAATAAAACCTTAGCCAAGTAGATAAGAGTCTATGGAACACTTTTGTAAATAGTTTTCACAAGCAATTTTGTTTGTGTATCTCAAATTTTGTCTTCCCGATTTCAGTCATACATTACGTCAATATAGCCTGCAAACTCTGTGTTGACGTTGTCATTCTCGAATGCCCAAACGTGTCAGGAGCACAAAGATACTCAAATGATCTTGATTGGACATCATGGTGCAGAGAAATCGTAATTTTAATGGGTGGCTTCACGAAAAAATAAACAGTGTTATAAGCCACGTTAATCTCGGTTTCCTTTTTTGAGACACCCTGTACAGGGCTTAACGCTTAACCAATACTGTATTGTAAAATTGTAAAATGTATGTTTACCATGTAACTGTATTGTAATTGTTTTTTGCAATTGCTTTAACATGCTTATTCTTTGAAATAAAAAAATATATAAAATAAAAAATAAAAAAACACGCAATAAGTAGTTATCTCGTAAAATCACAAAACTAGTGATGACTACATCAATTTCATTTAATGTACCATAAAGCCATGTCTCTCCTCTTTGCAATGATATGTCATTCATTCACATGTGGTAATGGTTGGGTGAGAAATCCTTCCATTTGCACAGTGGGTCAAAATCGGCTTTGCGCCAAGTTTTAGATATTGAAAAAATTAGTGCAAGGGCTAAGTGCCAATGGAAGTTCCCCTGATTTGAATTGTTATAACTTTTTCTTTTTGGATCTATCTCAGGAGCATCTGTGCTCACAATTCCTCCACCAGATATTGCAAAACCTCGAGAAAGATTTGCCCATGGGCTGCTTTTCTTTGCTTTAACCCACACATGATTCAGGGCTGAACCATGCATGACGTGGACAGATGAGCGCATCTTTATAGGCAAGGAAGTGGTGGCAATTTGGAGGGGTATATGATGTATTCTTGCAAGAGTATGAGTATGAACACTTTACTGTCTATGCCATACCTGTCACACCTTCTTCAAATAGCCCCTATGCCCCTTGTACTGACTTTTGCAATGTTTTTAACTTGGCTCCGTGCTGAATTTTGCCCCACTTTGCAAAATTATGATTATTCGGCCAGAGATGACTCCCTGTGAATGAATGATATTCCATTGTAAAGAGGAGTAATTTGGCGTACATTGAAGTAAAAGGATGCAGTCAGCATTGGTTTTATGTTTTCGTCCAATATTGCATCGGGTTCCGTACACTGACTTTTGCAATGTTTATAACTTGGCCCGAAGCTAATTTTGGCCCACTTTGCAAATGGAATGATTACTCACCCAACCATGACTAAATATCAATGAATGATATATCATTGTAAAGAGGAGACACATGGCTTTATGGTGCATTGAATGAAATCAATGCTGTTATCACTGGTTTTGTGCTTTTCCAAGATAACAATCTGTTGCGTTTTTTTTTGATACGCACTGTATAGTAGTACTGTAATATGTACTTATTTGATATCTTATCGATGAATTAAAAACACGACATAATTGCACTCGATTCACTGATTTGAATCATTACTAGGGATATAGCACCACGGGAATCATCAAGCCCGTTTGATTTTTTTGTTTGTGAAAGAATAAAATAATGGTGATGGGTGACATAGCAGTATTACATGAACGGTCTTGTATGTCAATGAACTATTAATTATACAAAGACTTCATTTATATACATGTGCATGGACATTTATGACCAGAAAATATGGTCCGGTGTAACTAGTTGGACATTTATAATCAGAAAATATGGACCGGTGTGACTAGTTAGAGACCATAATTTAGTGTTTAAAGTCCGCCCCGGACACCCAGTTCTAGCAAACGGACTAAATACCTAAGGAAATATAGTTCACCAGCCTTGTTATTCTAGATAATTTAGTCCTGGAAATTATTTTCCAGGACTTATAGTCTACGGGACCATATTTAGTACGGTCTATATAAACGTTGACACCTGCTGGCTTATAGCGAATGTGACTGAGGCTTCCATACTGCATATTTCCCTTGGTTTTCAAATGTAGACACTATGTCATGTCCAGAAATATTGTATTTTGTAAAGCAATTGACTATGTCGTGCTGTAATGTATAAAATCTGAATTCCCAAAAATATTTTAACTAATGACATGATGTGAATTGAAAACTAAAACATTATTATAATTTTTAATAGAAACTAAAAATTTGAATTTCACAAAACAGTTGCTTTAACATTTGCAAAAAGATGGCATGATAGTCGTAATGTTTTTAGCAGCCGTAAGTACTTGAAACATGTTGGCATAATGGTGCATTCTCTGCACAACGCTCAATTACATTGATAACAGCATCGATGGCTTTTTAGGGGCAAGCAGTATCTTATTTGACAGAAACATTATCTATTGTTACACATCATCAGTCACTGGGCTCGTGTGGTTTCACTTCAACATTTTCATTACAGGCCTCCTAGACTATCATCAACGCGAACAGCAGATCTGACATCGCGAACTACGATCCTTGCACTCAAACCAAACCACGATCGGGCGTGTGGTTCGCGAGCACTGATCTCTGTTCGCAAGTGGAGAAATATGTTCGGGAGCGAGGAAATGGTGGTGCACGACTGAAGATTTCACGTTCGTGATGTGAGAATCGTGAGTGCAAGGAACGTAGTTCGCGAGGTAAGAACTGATGTTCGCGTTGATGGAAGTCTAGGAGGCCTGCATTATTTATTTAGATTAGTGAATCACAATGTCATGATAGTATCAGTCAATATATTCAAACACCTGGGCAACTAGCGTCATTATGTATAAAGGATAAACGATGAGCCTTGGGTATCATGTGAAATAATAGCCAAGGCTATTTTCTCACTCATAGGACCAAAGGCGAATTGTTTATCTAACTTTAAAGGCCCACTTCGCGTAAAGACTTACATTTGAGTTTCATTGTATTTCCAGTGTATTGATAAGAACCTTATCTTTCATTTGACACCAACAACAGCTCAAACGGACCATATGAAAGCTTACAATAAATTATCAAAAAACATTTTCGATCAGTCAAGCTTTATATAGCAACTTTTTATCAATGTCATTGAAAGATGGCGCAGGTGTTTATATTACATGATACATTAATATTAATAGAAGTGTTGCCATCTTTTAAATCAAGAGTAATTAATAATATGCTCTTTGTTTAGCATGAGTATGGACCACTAATGATCTCTGAACTTCAAATATTTTTTCTTTGCGAGTTTTTTTTTCTTGGTTCAATATTAAAGCAAATCAAACTTTGTGTCATATTTGAGCGAGTGTGTGAGTAACATGTTTCAATGATTTTTTTCTTGACTCTTTGTGAAAGGTAAATGATCCATGATCTAATCTGATTCAACCGTAGGCATTATGAGTTGATGTATGTAATATAAGTGAGCGAGTGGGCTATATTAGTTCAGCTTCAGTACACTGCATGTAACAGGCCAGATTTAGTGTAAACTTTGATTTCGTTTTTATTTGTTATTCAACTATTGGGTAAGGAAAGAAGGGTGTACAGTGTAATTTGTTTAGCATCAGTACATTGTATATGACAGTCCAGACGTAAATATTGAGTTTGAATAGAGCAGGATATTTGTAAGCTTAGATCAATAATGTAGATAGCAACACAAATAATTGATAAATTGTTGCGAAAAGGGTACATGCTAATTTCTCTTGTTTTTAGGGGATGGAAACTATCAAAAACTGTCAGTCGTCATTTGTGACACAAATACACGTCTGTGTTGGTTGCTTATGAACACCAAATGCAAGGTTTAGTAGAGTGATAAAGGCAGATCGACCTGACTGAAAGGTGGATACTTTCATATTTATTGGCGACTTATTGGCCAAGTGGTCAATACTCCAGGCGGTAACTTAAATTGAAGTCACTCCATTGCTTAATTTATTGGATCAAATGATCAATTACCAAATAGGAGAGGCTTTTCAGTAATTTTTTATAAACATAAATAAACGTTTATTTGTTTTTATGTGTTCAGTGAAAAAGCCCGAGATGAATGAAAGAAAATGTTCTGACCATTTATTAGGTAATCTAGAACAGTGTTATATTCTACTCATTTTACTTATTTTGTAATGAAAATATATAACAGTATTGTCCATCTGTACTTTTAATTGCAAATGGTTGAGAAAATATATGTGAGGTGCAAATAGCATATTGAATAATCCTGTGCACATTATTGTATATTTTAACGTTGCCACACAAGAGTT